TATTGTTTTTTTTGACAAAAAAGAAAAAAAGTGGAGAACAAACTAATTAAAAAGAAAAAGTTAGCAACGCGGTGACGTTGTCTCGCATTATGATGTTTTTAATTTTTTTTTATAAACTATAGAATTCCGAACCTTTGGTTCATAGTTTACTCGGCATCCGAAGACAGTATTTGGATATTCTGATTTAAAGAATAACTCTTGGTCCCATAAAAAATTTGAAACAAGGACACAAAGTAACCAACCTGTTTGGTGATCGATGAAAATGATGATAGTGTGCGAGGGGATGGCTCGAGAATTGTGCAGATGTGGTTTACATTCGACTATTAGCACAGTAGGGTTTTGTGGAATGGAATGAATTTATTTGTTGGGATGGACAAATAAAAAACTTTACTCAAATTTATTTAAAAAAAAAAAACTTCCACTAAATTATGTTAAAAAAAAACTTTCACTTACCAAATTTAAGCATATTTAGAAATTGTTCTTTTATTCCATGGTTATGCTATTTAATTTTGTTATTAGTAAATCCAAATGTTTGAGTAATCATTTCTTTAGACAAAAGATAATATATTATTTAATTTTTGTGTTTTGATCACGCATCACAAAGATTATTAAAAACTAGTTTTAGATTTAAAGAGACGGTACTAATTAGAGAATTCTCGAAAATGATATTTTTTAAAAATGTCATACTTTTGAAATTTTTTTAAAAATATCACTAAAATTAATTTACTCTAAATATCATTTAGAAATGGGTTAACTATTTTGTATTAAGACTTAGTTTTTATGGTTTATAGGGTTTGTTAAGGGTGAAAAACATTCATTAGGATTTAGAATTTCATGATTTAGGGTTTTAAAAACTCTTAGTTATTGGTATTTTTGAAAATTAACAAAAACAAAAATGGTATTTTTGTAATTATCTTTCTAAGTAAGACTCGAAACCATATTATTTACAAAATATCTATATAACTTGGGATTTTTGAAAGGGATGATAGACTAAAGACTTTGAAAAATGTTTAAAAACATATGGTTAAAAAAACAAAAATAATTGTGCTAGACATTAAAAAAAGAATTTGGATTGTATAACAGATTTAGCCACAAAAGTATTCTATTCTTATCTGTGACTGTGAGTAAATACAATATTAATGGCCTTGTTGTATTAGATTTTAGGATATGCTTATTTTCAGACCAGTTGGGTTACATGTGGGGGCAATAGGGTACTAGAGAGTTTTGTGTCCACAAATAAAAAAAAAAAGAAAT